CCCGGGGGGGTGGGGGGGGGGGGTGCCGGGGGGGTGCCGGGGACGGGACAGACGGACGGACGGACAGACGGGTGGATGTGGGGATGGACAGAGGGACGGCCGGAGGGTGGCAGGGAGGGAGGGACAGAGATGGTCGGAGCGAGGGATGGAGGGACGGACGGACGAATGGATGGAGGGAGGGAGGGGGGGATGGATGGATGGACAGACAGATAGACAGACAGATGGAGGGATGGATGGATGGATGGACGGATGGACAGACGGAGGGAGCAATGGATGGATGGACAGAGGGACGGAAGGAGCGATGGACGGACAGACAGACGGAGGGATGGATGGATGGAGGGAGGGATGGAGGGTGGGATGGATGGATGGACGGACAGACAGACAGAAAGACAGAGGGAGCGATGGATGGAGGGAGGGAGGGATGGAGGGTGGGATGGACGGACAGACAGATAGACAGATGGAGGGATGGATGGACGGACGGACGGACAGATGGAGGGAGCAATGGATGGATGGACAGAGGGACGGAAGGAGCGATGGACGGACAGACAGACGGAGGGATGGATGGAGGGAGGGAGGGTGGGATGGATGGATGGACAGACAGACAGAAAGACAGAGGGAGCGATGGATGGAGGGAGGGAGGGATGGAGGGTGGGATGGACGGACAGACAGATAGACAGATGGAGGGATGGATGGACGGACGGACGGACAGATGGAGGGAGCAATGGATGGATGGACAGAGGGACGGAAGGAGCGATGGACGGACAGACAGACGGAGGGATGGATGGAGGGAGGGAGGGTGGGATGGATGGATGGACAGACAGACAGAAAGACAGAGGGAGCGATGGATGGAGGGAGGGAGGGATGGAGGGTGGGATGGACGGACAGACAGATAGACAGATGGAGGGATGGATGGACGGACGGACGGACAGATGGAGGGAGCAATGGATGGATGGACAGAGGGACGGAAGGAGCGATGGACGGACAGACAGACGGAGGGATGGATGGAGGGAGGGAGGGTGGGATGGATGGATGGACAGACAGACAGAAAGACAGAGGGAGCGATGGATGGAGGGAGGGAGGGATGGAGGGTGGGATGGACGGACAGACAGATAGACAGATGGAGGGATGGATGGACGGACGGACGGACAGATGGAGGGAGCAATGGATGGATGGACAGAGGGACGGAAGGAGCGATGGACGGACAGACAGACGGAGGGATGGATGGAGGGAGGGAGGGTGGGATGGATGGATGGACAGACAGACAGAAAGACAGAGGGAGCGATGGATGGAGGGAGGGAGGGATGGAGGGTGGGATGGACGGACAGACAGATAGACAGATGGAGGGATGGATGGACGGACGGACGGACAGATGGAGGGAGCAATGGATGGATGGACAGAGGGACGGAAGGACCCCTACATGTATGACACCCCATGTCCAGCCCCTACACGTGTGTGCAACCCCATGTCCAGCCCCTACATGTATGACACCCCATGTCCAGCCACTACATGTGTGTGCAGCCCTGTGTCCAGCCCCTACACACGTGCATCCTTCTGTGCCTGTCCTCTACACATGTGCGCTTCTGTGTCCATCCCACACGTGTGTCCATGCTCCACGTGCATCCCCTACATGAGTCTGTCTTGTGCACCCCTTGCACACGTGTCCATCCCCTACACGTGTCCATCCCCTACACATGTGCGTCCTCCTGTGCATCCCCTACATGTGTCCATCCCGTGTGGACCCTTTGCACATGTGTCCATCCATCCCCTACATGTGTCTGTCCTGTGTCCCCTGCTTACATGTGTCCATACCCTACATGTGTCCATCCCATGTGCACCGCTTGCACCCGTGTCCATCCCTTACATGTGTCCATCCTCCTGTGCATCCCCTACACATGTCCATCCTTGTGTCTACCCCTTACACATGTCCCATGTCTGTCCCTACACATGTCCATCCCATGTGCACTCCACCCCTGTCTAGCCCTATGTGCAACCCCTACACGTGCCCATCCCATGTGCACCCTCTGCACACGTGTCCACCCCTACGTGTCCATCCCATATGCCCCCTCTGCACGTGTGTCCATCCTCTACATGTGTGCATCCTTCTGTACATCCTCGACACGTGTCCATCCCATGTGCACCCTTTGCACACATGTCCATCCCCTACATGTCCCATGTGCACCTCTGCACATGTGTGCATCCCCTACATGTGTCCATCCTCCTGTGCATCTCCTATGCGTGTCCATCCCATGTGCACCCTCTGCACACGTGTCCACCCCTATATATGTCCATCCCATGTGTACCCCCATACATGTGTGCACCCCTACACGTGTCCATCCCCGCATGCGTCCCCCATCACCCCGCGCATCCCTCCCTTGTACCACCCTCTCCCATGTGCATCCCTGCACACCCCTGCCACACGCGTGTGCCCCACCACACGCGTGTGCCCCTCCTTTCCCCCCCTCGCTCCAGATCGCACTGAGCGGGCTACGGATGAAGGCCCTCCAGGATCTCCGCTCCAACTCCACCAAAGCCACCGAGCTGCTGCTGCAGAGCACCGAAGCCCTCGTGCTTCAAGCCACCCTCAGACGCCCCGGCTCCGGCCCCCAGAGCTTCAACATCTCCATCATGGGTACACCAGCACCCATGGGTGCCCCCAAGGGCCCCCTGGAATCCTTGAAGCACGCCAAGAGCACCGCAACACCCCTAAGAACGTTGCAACTCCCCCAAGGAAGAGCTTGGTGGCATCACCGTGTCCCTCGCGCTCTGCAAGGGCATGGTGGCACCTGGGGTAGGTAAAAAAACCCTCAAAAGGCCTTTTTTCGCCCCAAATCAGAGGCAGTGGCGGAGGTGGTGCGGGACGACTGCCCCCAGGCTACGCTGGTGCTGGCGGGGGGTGAGCAGAACCTGACCATCAGCTGCCACGACGTGGGGAGCAACGTGCCAGCAGGGAAGG